TATTTTTGATTGTTAGTTTTGGCGAGTTTCCATTTCAAGACATTTAACATGTAAAAATAGCATGTGTGCATGTGCATGTACATGTACATATATATTACATATGACGGAGAGAAAATTTGAGTGACAAAAGTACTGACAAATTATAATATCCAGAATTCCAGCACAAAAGAACTCAGAGGGACACAACACAAGGCTCAAGTAATTAATAAAAGAGTTCTGTGGCACTTTTTTGTTTATGCTAATATCTTCCCAAATGAAACTCTGATGTGTGCCATCCAATACATCCTGAAGGGTACACAGGCCTGTCCTCTTACTCCCAAGTTCTAGTCCAGCTCTGAAAGAAGCTAAATCATCATTACATGAAATTTACATTTTTTAAATTTAGAAACCAATTTAGGCTCACAGGATTCTAGAATTTTACCATTAGATATCTTTTATGTCATCTCATCTACCCTTTTTACACAGAAAGCTTACTTGCTGATTATTTTAATTTAATTTCATTTTTTTAGAGACAAGAGTTTGCTCTGTTGCCCAGGCTGGAATGCAGTGATATGATCATAGCTCACTGCAGCCTTAGACTTTTGGGCTCCAGCAATCCTCCCACCTCAGCCTCCTGTGTAGCTGGGACTATAGGCACATGAGCCAATGCCCGCCTAGAAATAATTTATTTGTCTGAAGTCAAACTGAAAGTAAATGAAGAGCTAAGACACAATTTAGGCTCCTGATTTGGAATCCATTTTAGTGTATTTCCACAGCACCAGGTATGTCATTTGGGTTTCCTTTAGCTGCAGGTAACTGAAAATCCAACTCAAATTGGTCTGATTATTAAGGAATTTACTAAAATGGAGGATAGAGAAGTCCAGATGTAAAGTGTGATTCAGTGCTAGTTGACTGACACCTTCACATCAGCATCAACTAATCAAGTGCTCTACAATTTTTTTTTTTTTTTTTTTTTTTTTGAGACAGAGTCTCACACTGCTACCCAGGCTGGAGTGCAGTGGCGCAATCTCAGCTCACTGCAACCTCCGCCTCCTGGGTTCAAGGGATTCTCCTTCCTCAGCCTTCTGAGAAGCTGGGATTATAGGCATGCACCACCATGCCTGGCTAATTTTTGTATTTCTAGTAGAGATGGAGTTTCACTATGTTAGCAAGGCTGGTCTCAAACTCCTGACCTCATGATCCATCCGCCTCAGCTTCCCAAAGTGCTGGGATTACAGGTATGAGCCACCACACCCAGCCAAGTGCTCCATAATTTAAAGCCTTCTCTCATTCTCAGGACAGCCTGGTCCTGGGCCAGTGGAAAAGAGAGATTTCTCTTCCTCACAGCACTACTGAAGAGACTTGAGGTTTGCACTGATAAGTCTACTCTTGAACCAGTTTTTCTGGATAACAGAAGACCATGTGGTAATCAACTGAATCTCTGGGTTTTATAAGAACCAGTCATTGTGTCAAGAACACAGTGCCATGTCAGTCACTGGTCAGTGTCATCCAAACCAGATGGAGAGGGGGGGACTCAAGAGGCAGCCACAAAGTCCACCACAAAAGACAATGTGGAGACAACTTTTTCACCTAAATTCTTACCTACTAATTGCCGTCCCTTAGAAAGTGAATATGCTCAATTATATGGAGTTTCACATAGATTAAAAAGCAACATTATGCTGAGACTTGATTATGACAGAAACAAAGAAGAAATTAAAAAAAACATACCAAAAAGTTTTCTGTCCTCTACAATATAGACTGTTTATCAAATTCAGAATTGTGCCTTGCCTTTCATTTTAGCTGCACAAATACTTCTATTTTAAAAAAAGCAGTTCAAAAGACTGTAAGTATATGGTGGGATATTATAAAGAAGCTATTTTATAGATTTTTATATCACTATGTTAAATATATGAATATAAATATCAAATGTATATATGTCATTATGAAGTTTCATTTAATAACTAAAATAATTTATAAATTTAAAATACTATATTTATTTAAAACTCTCTAATTCCATTCTAAAATTGGCAACTTCCCTTATAAAGGTAACGTCATATGTCCTGAAATAACTTAGAATATTTTTCATAACAATTTCTAAAATCTTTCATAATATTGTAAATATAAAGAAAACAAAGCAAAAAAAAAAAAAAAAAAAAAAAAACCTAGGTGTACCAAAGCTAAATCTAATCTGTTGGCTGAGTGCAGTGACTCACGCCTGTTATCCCAGCAATTTGGAAAGCAAAGATGGGCGAATCACTTGAGGTCAGGAGTTCAAGACCAGCCTGGTCAACATGGTGAAACCCCGTCTCTAGGCCAGGAACGATGGCTCATGTATGAGCTAAAAGCTCTACTGTGCTATGATCGCCACTGTGCTCCAGCATGGGCAACACAGCAAGAGCCCTCTCTAAAAAGAAAAAGATTGATAAATCTACACAAATTTAAAAGTAAAAGACACAAGCAAACTGAAAAAACTATGAGCATGATGGATCTCCAAGGGTGAGACCATGCAGGCTAATGTAGAAAAACTAACTTAGAGGTTTAATTGATACATTAAACAGCCACTGGAGTTTGCCCAGGTATTTGCTATTTTCCCTCTTGTTGTGAGGGTTAATAAGACAACTGTAATCCATTCAGGCTGCTATAACAAAATACCCTAGACTGAGTAATTTATAAATAAAGAAATTTCTTTCTCAGTGCTGAAGGCTGGGAAGTTCAAGATCAAGGCACCAGTGGATTCAGTGTCTAATGAGGGCTTGCTCTCTGCTTCAAAGACAGCACCTAGTTGCTGAGTCCTCACATGCCAGGAGGGGCAGAAAAGCAAGGAGGGTAAACCCTCTCCTTCAAGGCCTTCTGTAAGGGCACTAATGACATCCATAAAAGCAGAGCCCTTATGACCTAATTACCTCTGAGAGGCCTCGCCTCATAATACCATCACCTTGAGGGTTAAGTTCCAACATAGGAATTTTGAAGAAACATCAACGTTCAAGCCACAGCAACCATATATATGTGGCTTGGGTTGCCTTTGTCACATACATAAGACCCTGGGAGGTCCAGCCCTTCAGAAGTTAATAAAACTCAAATTCTTATGGATCCATTTTTTTTAAAATAGACCCAACGTACAGATTGTTAGCCACGCAGAGACTGCTTCCTTTGTGTGCTCCTCAAAACTCCACCCACATCTACTAGCAACAAATCAAACAAGCCCTGGGCGATGAAAATCCCAAGGCTGTGCTGCCATGCAGGGCTCTTTAATCCATAACTGCTCCTCACCCCGGTGCTGCTTAATGACTGCACATAAACATATAAGCCTCCTCTCTGATTCCCCTCTTCCCAGGAGTTCCCTTGCCCTCCTCCTCTTCTCGATGGTAATCATGGACATAAGGTGCTGGATGGCTTCATGCTGCAAGAGTCTTCCTCGCTCTCGCAGTCCTGTTCAAGTGCTGCCCAGTAAAACCTGTTTTGTGGTAATGCCTCTCATGATCATATCCTTTTCCTCAATCAGATCCCAAGTCCTTTGAACCCCTACACAGCCCAACCCTGTGCAATCCTGCAGTCCTAGCCAAGCTACCTTTCACAGACTGAAAAGTGTCATGAAATGCAGTAGGTACTCTTGAGATAGCTCTTCCCTTATTTACTTATAATTCTTCAGCTCTTCAAGTACATAACTGTTATAAAAAAAGATTAAATGCTGGGCAGGGAGTGATAAGGTGTCAGAGCAGGGCTATCCAAACATTATGGTAGCTTTGGGCTGCAGTACACTGACTGGATCCACTATGATTAGTGGACCATATAACATTTTAAAATTAAACCCTGTGAAGAGTAAACATGAGTAGCATATATGAGCACATGGGACAGGACTTTTCCTGGCAAACTGGAACATACGGTTACCCTAATTATTTTGACAATGACATATTCAAAAACTTGAGACTGGAGGCCACAGGACCCTCTATGAAAAATATAGGCTATGAAGACTCTTTCCTGTTTGGTGATGTCTTAGGTTAAAGTACACGGCACTGGCATAGCTGATAAAATACAGTTAGGGGTATGCACATGAATGAATGGTTCCATTATTTGTAGATCAGTGATTTAAAAAAAAAAAAGCCACAGGAAAAAAAGCTAAAAGAAAAAATTAAAAAATTTTTAAAAGCTAAAAAATAAATAATTTTTTAAAAGCCACAGATGGAATCCACTGAGGTATTCCTGAGAAGCTGAAAGCATTCTCTCAGGCCACCCAATAGCAAGATTTGTTGTTCTCCTTTCCCCCTTCTCTTCTTCTTCTGTCTCTGCCCTGCCATGCTCCCTTCTAATACACCATTGTTTCATACTTTTTCCCCTTTTTTTCTTCTCTCCCATATCTACTTAGTGTTTGTATGTCTGCCAGTAGCTTTTATAGATATTACTTATTATCTAGGTGCTTTAATCTCCTAGACGGCAATATAAAGTTGTTTTGGAAGAAACAGTCCCAAGCGATTGAGCAACATCCCTTCTCTGCGAAGTCTGTTTGTCCTGTCTTATCTCTGTCCCTGTGTGTGCTGGTCCTCTGCTCTTTTATTTTCGTACTCAGTCTTTTTCTTGCTGAATAACAAACAAATTTATAATCAGTTACAGGAAACTTTGATTCTCAAGTATTTACTGAAATACATACTACTATCCTAAACACATACATATCCTAAAACTGCTACTCAAAGAATTTCAAAACTCACTGAAATGGACACAAGGTTTTATCTAGGCGAAAACAAATACACAAGTATCTTATGGCTTTTATAATCTAAGCAAAATACAAAGTTGTACAATCTTTCCAAAGTCATTTTCTAAAGTCCTTGTTTTTAGCTTTGCTGATTATCAAAAGTTTCCCTCCTTTCATATTCTGAGCCAGACGCTGATTATTGATGCCGCAAAGCCTGGTGGGAGAAGGCAGATTAGATCATGTCTCGATACCTCATCTGCTCTTAAAAAGCTTTAGTTTATTCTCACAAAAAAAGGAAGAAAGCAAAAGGGAAAATGTTTTATTTTATTTTTTAAAAATCACCAATTGGTTTTTGCTTCTTTAGCCAAGTTACATTGTTCCCATGCCTATTTAAGTGTGTGGGGATTTTTCCCCTATTTATAAAGATGAAATGGACTCCATGGGCTACTTGGAACACATTTAACTTATCCATAGGTTTCAAAAGCACAGCAGGTCCAGGGCATGGAAAAGGCAGGCAGGTGCTCTCTGCATCCTGCACCATTTAACAAGCACACACACAGATTAAAAGAGTAATTTTTTCTTTTCTTAATCATCAGCTGATCTAATTTATGGATCATTTATTATTTATTATCACTGTCCTTAAATTCTTTTTAATCATATATGTCTCCAACCAAGGGTAATGATAATTAGCACCAATGTAATTTTTTTCTTTTTTTTTTTTTTTTTTGTAGATTTCCAGAAAGTAGCTTCAAGTCTAATTGCACAGTCCCTGACATACAAATCAATTAGCATGTGGTAACTCTAGCCTAGACTTTTGGCTTCATCTTCTTCTTCTTCCTTTTTTTTTTTTTTTTTTTTTGGTCACCACAAGCCCCTGTTTTTTTTTTAAAACAAAAAATTTTTACAAAAAATCATATTTAGGCAGGCAGTTTTAGCAATAAGGTTACTGGCCTCAAGGATGAATGTTATCCTTGGCTGGGATGTTCTGGAGACCTAACCATATTGAATTCTATTATACCTCCTCCCACATGCACCCCAATGCACAGTTGTGTTTGTTTTTCATTTTCTTTCTCATACACAACATCTGTCCTATATGCTTCACTGCACTGTTTTTTAGTGAAGAAAATGCAGCTGAGAAAGGAAATGAATATCAAATTCAGAGCTCCCAGGAGAGCTGACCCAAATCCTCAAATGATAGCATTATAATACACTTTCTACATTCAGATCTGGGATACCATAGTATGATTCCTTCATGATTGAAATGTCATGTATTTCGGCAAGCTCTCTCTGACAATCCTTTTAAAAATGATGCAAACAATTAAAATAATGAGAAAATAAACTATCAACCATCTAACAACAAACATCAAAGTAAAAAGCTCTGAGAGTTACAAGGGCTAAGAATAGAACTTGTTTATATCCTTACTTTTAAGTTGGTGACCGACTTGCACACTGTTAGGCCTTTCTCGGCATCGTATGTGGAGCAGAGCACTGGACATTGGATGCTGTTAATGCTATTTGGCCATGGAATGAAATGTTATGAGGGCTTGAGGCGTAATATTCCCAAGTTTGTTATATAAAGGTCTTGAAGTGCCATAGAGGAAAAATCCCTGCAATTGTCTTCTTAGCATCCATTCCAGTATTAAAACTTGTTTTGTTATTCAATATTTCTTAAAAGATGTTATTATTTTTAATTCCCTTTTACCCTATCCTTATCTTCGGAAAGTTATATTACGAATGATTTTAACAAAATTAAGGGAAGAACAGACGGTTTAGGGGGTTAAGGTAACTGAAAGGAATATAGGAGGAGGACTCACATTAAAAGATAGACTTGCTTCTGCACAAACACACACACACACACACACACACACACACACACACCCCTGAATGCTTAGCTTCTTTTAACTAAAAGTTATTGAATTGATATATTCTGTTGAGTCATATAGGCAGGCTAAAAATTATTCCTGCTAAAATATTTCTATCTCACAAATGCATACATGTCTCTTAAGACATCGGTTTAATATTCTGTATCTGTAAGGAATCTGATGCTAATTGAGCAGGTTTTCTTCCAGTATTTATTTTAATTATTTAGAGCAGCATGAAGCTCTTCGTAATTTCCCACCTGACAACTGGGACCCAAAAGAACAGCTGCCTACGGTTTTATGCTCCTATGAACACACTGGGTATCAGAGTCAATAAGCTTAGGCATGAATTCTCTGCGTGTTCCATTGAGGTTGTGAAAATCAAGCCTTTTGGAGGAGTTCAGAGGAAACCTGCAACTGAGAATGATGTCCATGCCACTGTGCAAAGTATTATGACAGTCATAGATCTCAAAGGAGCTACAGGAAGCCAGGCTCCCTGCTGAAATGAACACAACCCATAGTTAAATAATAAATCATAGTCATGTATCTAGTCTGCAACATCTACTACCTATCAGAAAGTCACCATGACCACACAGTGCAAATATTTAGTTCCACACAGTTACATATCTCGATAGGATCCAACTGAAGTAGTTATCTACTTGTCCTTTATAAAACAGAAAGTGAATGCTATTTGTTTATGGTGAATTGAAAGTCAAAATATTATTTGCATTTATCAAATGCAAAAAAGTACAAAAAAGCCTAGTTATATACCTCCACATTTAAATATACCCCCCAGCATGACTTTAAGACTCAAGTGTCCAACATATACATAATTTAGTACAAACATCTTTTGACACCTCACGTTTTTTTCTTTTGCAAAAGAACAAAAGGTTTCTTGTACAAACACACAGTATTGTACGTGCTCTCAGATATGACAATTCACAATACAATGAATAAGATGAATTATTCATTTTAAAATTACAATTGTTTATGGACAGAAGTTTGCAGAAGCCTAGAATTAAAAGGTAGGTAAAAGTGGGACTAAAATTGGACACAGTAAAAAAGCGCTAACCATTCCAAATAATTTAACCAACTACATAATTAATTTCTAACTTCAAGGTATGATAAAGGCCTTGACGAAAAAATTAAACATTACTCTCACTGACTTAAGGCATAGAGGGAAAAAACACCATTTAACCTAGCAAAGCTCAAGCACGGTTCATTTATCTTGAATCTCTATCAACAAACACTGGGCTCTGAAACCTCACCCATCTTTGAGAAAACTCTAATATTTACAGCGCTTTTTTTTGACATGACTTAAAAGAGAGGAACTTGTCTTTCTAACATTTATATCCCTAGTAGTTAGCACAGTGCTTGACATATGTCAGTAATGAGTAAATATTGTTGAATGAATAACCTTATCAATGGCACTAGGTATAGGGACATGACATACTGTCACCAAAAACAAGTATTTTTCATTGAAAAGAATGCCTCATCTTACCCTTAATTTTGTTGTTGTTGTTGTTCACTTAAAGTAGAACCTACATTACTGTTGTGATTTCTGAAGTTCAACCTGAAGGCACTTTAGAACAAATTAAAGCAGAGAGAGACTAGAAGTTGAAATATCATTTCAGAAGTTGTTGCTATTAGGTTGGTATAATTATGGTTTTTGCCATTACTTCTAATAGCAAAACCACAATTACTTTTGCACCAACCTAATATATTCCAGGTGAGAGTTAATGAAGTTCTGAACTAAGTGAAAGGAATACTAAAGGACAGAGGCAAGCATACATAACACAGGAAAAATCAAAAGGCTACCTACCTCAGATATTTTCATGCTGAGGTATAGAAGGAGGAGGGATTAATTGTTGCTATTTTAATTTTATGTAGTGGCAAAACTAGACAATTCAAGAAGGAAAGAGATACATCTTTCAGCAGTAATAAACTAAGTTAAAATAAGCACAAACCTAAAGATGTAAGAGTTCAAGCTAAACTTCGGGTGTAACACATTGTTTTATGAAAGCAATAGAAATGTAATACATTCATTTCCAATTGCAAACAATAGATTCATTTTACTTATTAAATCATATTTCCTCCATATAATACAGGCGTTCAATTTAAAAGTCAACCAGTACTCCAAGTCTTACAAGAAAAAAGAAGCCATGATTTTTGAAAATCCTTCCACCTTTCCACTCCTAATTCACTTCCAGAGCCAATCATTTTCACTTTCTTTTCTTTTCTTTGAGACAGGGTCTGCCTCTGTTGCCCAGGATGGAGTACAGTGGTGCACTCATAGCTCACTGCAGCTTCAACCTCCTGGGCTTAATGGATTCTCCCACCTCAGCTCCCAAACCCCAACCCCTACTATCTAGGACTACAAGTGCAGGCCATAGGGCTGGATTTTATACACCAGATAGATAGATAGATAGATAGATAGATATATAGATATATATATATATATAGATAGAGATAGAGATATCTATATATCTATATCTATATCTATAAAATAGATATAGATATAGATAAATATTTGTAGAGATGTGGCCTCACCATGTTGTCCAGGCTGGTTTCAAACTCCTAGGCTCTGGTGATTCCCCAGCATTAACCTTCCCAACTGCTGAGATTACAGGCATGAGCCACTGCACCCAGCTCAGAGCTAAATGTTTTCAGTCATATTAGCTATATTTGCTACATACTTCCATTTTTAAATATAACATGCTAAAACTGCTATACATTTTTAAAATTTAGATAATAGCCACAAAATTGTTTTCATCAAAGCAAGTATTTAATTTTCTTCTGCTACTTTCCCTTCCCCACTGCACACAAACACACACACACACACACACACACACTTTTTTCTCCCTCACTTTTTCCAATTCAACTAGTAGCAACTTTTAGGTAGTTCGATATTCAGTGCTGACATAATTATGCTAATGAAAATACTATTCATAGCTAAGCAATGTAGTGTACTGTGACACTTCCTTTATTTTACAACTTGTTGATTTCCCTGGTGTTACGCATTCTCAGGTTCTCTAAAGGAAAAGTCAATCACTTCAACAGGATCAAATATATTCGGCAATCCATCTGCTTCTTGTTTTCCATGGAGGCATTAATCCTGGATACTTCTATCACCCTGCACCTATTTGACGGGATTAAACTCCTTGCCTGCTGCCCTGCTGACATCCAGTGACTGCCTTGCTTCTTTTTCTCTTCAATTTCCTGTTTCTCTAAAACAATCCATGTATTCCTTCTATTGTTTCCTTTTTTTGTTGGTGTACTTCCTCCAGTAGCTTCCTGAGAAAAGGTGCATTGGTAGAGCAATTTTTTGAGAATGTACATGTTCTACCTTACACTTGATTGATAATTTGAATACACAATTCTAGTTTGGAATTATCATTTCTCAGAATTTTGAAGGTATTTCACATTGTTTTTAGCTTCCAGTGTTATTAAAAAGTCTATTGCCTTTTTGATTATTATTCCAATGTACTGTCGTTTATCTTTCTCTCTGGAGCTGTAAATATCATTTCGTCAGTGCTCTCAAACCTCTTGCCAATGTCCTGTTCTTTATTTTACTTACTACTTGTGATGTCTTTCAGTCTGGCTTCCAAGTCCTTTAGTTACGGGCAATTATATGTAGATATATATAATTTAAGTAAACAAATTATTATATGAATATATGAGTAAGCATTAATATATACAAATATGAGAATCACAACTACATATGTATGCATATATGTATATATGTGTGTGTGCATACACACATAAACACACACAAATACACATTAAAAATCATTTCTTCCTCTTGATTTCTTTCTTTTCAAAACCTTATTTTACACCTCATGGACTGATCTAATTTCCTATGACTTGTCTTTTATTTTTTATTTCTTTGCCTTTCCTAGGAGAGTCTCCTTAACTTTACCTTTCTTCCCTTCTACTTAATGTTTCTGTTATAAATTTTTATAAATTCTCTAAATAGTCCTTTTATATAACACTCTGATCTTGTTTTACAGTGAAAGATCTCTTACCTAAGGATGCTAATATCATTTTTTGACGTTTTCCTCGGTTTCCTGCATTGTCTCAGCTGCATCTATTTTTTGCTCTTGTCTTTTTATTCTTTGTCATTTTGCCTTTCTCATTATGTTCAAAGAGAACATATAATATTCTCATTATATTTCTTCAATTATGTATAATCTTTGTGTATCCATATTTAAGACTAAGACATTAAAAAGTTAATTGAAAACCCATACTACATGGGCAGTTTGCTAATAGGTAAGCTTTACCACAGGGTGATCAGTTGGTGACCTGGCCATTTTGTTTGTGAATCCCAAAATAGTCTCTGAAGATAACCTCTCTTTGGCCAATAGCCCCAGAAATTAAATTTACAAACTTCTCTCTAATTCTGGGATTCAAGAAGGAAGGAGCCTGGTTTTCTCACAGGCTTCATTTAATTCTAAATGAGCTTCTTGTTTTAGAATGATGCCTCATACACCTCTTACGTCCAGCTATCTCTGAGTCACAAGATTCTTGAGTTCAATCCAGGGCTGAGTTCAATATGGGAAGAATCTCGGAATACAATTTCTTTTAAACACTTTCAACCAATCTTTATGTATTCAGCCCTATTTTGCACCCAGAATTTTAAAGCAAGCTTGTGGCTCCTGTTTCTAAAATCTTCCAGAGATATGAGGTGCAAATGTGATTATTTCACAATACATTATGTATTTATTATATATTATCCCCGTAGAGGCCCTTACCTTTTTGCTCTTTCTGCTCTTAGAAGACAATAATCATTCCTCCGGCTCTACAATTTTGTTAGCATTTCTCATCTAACATTATCTTCTCTTTTATCATCTTTATCCTCACAGATTTAAGCCTTTATTTTTCCTTTATTTTATTTCAATGGGGGATTTGAAAGAAAATAAAGATAGCTATGTTTGTTCAAGCCATCATGCTTAATCAAAACTCTAGTAAACTTACCTATTTTAACATAACATAAATCGGATTAGCTATATTTTAATACAGCTAAATATCTAGTCAAGATACTACTACTAGAAAGTATTTAAAATTGATAGTAAAAAATAACTTTGCCTCTATTATAAAAAATTCAAATATGTTTGGTTTGATGTAAAAGTTAGCTATAACACAGAAGCAGGATGGAAATTTTAACTTGATATTAGGCTCTTTTATCACAAGTCTTCTCTTGAATCTAGGAATTCAGTTATTCCACTTGCAATTTCCATATGGTGACATGACTCATCATTTATTTTTACTACAATTAAGTTTTCTGCTGCAACAGAAATATGACTTTTTGTACTCTGAGATGAGTTATTTTATTCTGGAGAGACAAATAAATTTCACAATATAAAGCAGATTGACTAATGGTTAATGATAAGTCATGTCATTAACTATCTTCTAATGTTAAAAATATGTCATGAGTCATGAAATCTAGTATGCATAAAATAACTACAGAGGAATCCTTGTAACAAAACAGATGATAAACCAGATTTAAAGCAGTTATATATCTGAAGCCCAACCATGTAGAAGAAAGTTTAAACCAACAGTGTACAAAGTATCAATCTTATTCTGAAACTTCATAATGGAATTACACTAATAAATTTCAGTTACTTTTTTAATTTATATTTTTCTAGCTACATTTTACATTGTTAAATTTTTTTTAATGATATGTCCAATTTATAAACATCTAAATGACAAAAAAAGAAGGTTAAATCAGTCCGAGACACATCAACTGCAAATAACTAATACAGGGCTTACAGTTACCATTTGTCAATATTTTACTTGCTAAGTGAAAAAGGAAAAAGACTGAAGATTTGCCACCTAATTACTGGCTGCACAAAAATCTTTCAGGAAAGGAGGTGAAACTTGAGACATCATTTTTGGAGAAGATCTGTATTTCTAATACTTCATTTTGCCCATTTCCTCAAATATTCTATAGAGGAAAAAGAACCTTAAGCATAAAAGTTAGTGTAAAAGGTTTCTTGTTGCAATAAAATAACACACACAAAAAGGCAAAAAGATTTGATCATTAAATCCCCCTAGCAATAGGGAAGATATTGATCAAAGGATACAAAATTTCAGTTAGACAGGTGGAATAAGTTCAAGAGACACAAAGTAACTACGATTAATAACAGTTTATTGTATACCTGAAAAAGTCTAAGAAAATAGGTTGTCTCACTCTGTCACCCAAGCTGGAGTGCAGTGGCACAATCAGCGCTCACTGCAGCCTTGACACCCTATGCTTCAGCGATCCTCCTGCTTCAGTCTCCCCAGTAGCTGGGACTACAGCTGTACACCACTATACCTCACTAATTTTTCTTTTCTTTTTTTCGTTTGTAGAGATGGGGTTTCACCATGTTGTCTAGGCTGACCTCAAACTCCTGGACTCAAGCAATCCTCCCAAAATGTTGGGATTACAGGTATGAGCCACCACTCTTGGCCAAGAGTAGATTTTAAGTATTCTCATCACAAATAAACATAAGCATGTGAAGTAATACATAACAGCTTAGTTTAGCCATTCTACAACATACCCATATTTCAAAACATCATGCACGCCATAAATATACACATTTTTATTTGTCAACTTAAAAGTCTAAAAAGTAACATTATAAGTGGAAAAAAAACAAAAACTAAAAAGAGTACCTGAGCCACCTATTCCCAAACGCATCCAGAAAAAAAACAAAGTATTTCTCAGCTGCTCTGGCTTAAATAGTGTTCTTGGGGAGATCGTTTCAAATTTCAGCAGGACAGTTTAGTGATTTATAGTGTATAAACAAAAATGAGTCACTAGTGCTGTCACTCAGGGCCAGTTTGTGACAACATAAAGGAGAAAAGAATAGGGAAAAAGTATGAGGATACTGGGTTAACACATAGATACTGAAGAGGAAAAACCATTTCTGTAAGTGACCTCTTTAAAATGGGGTTAGCAACTCAGAGCATATCTGACATCTGAATCAGTTAGTTCAATGTGTCAAGCTAAAATTTTGTAGCCTTGGGCACCATAACTGTTACAAGTAAGAGAAGCTTTATGCTACTGCAATTAATTAGCACAAAGGCACCTAATAGAAACCCTCTTAGAATAGCAGGAAGGATTTTAGAGAAATTTAGACCTAAGATATTTAATTGCACATTTTATTTTTACAAGTTGTACATCTGAAACTCCTATTCACTTCAATATGGACTGATTCATAATGTAGCTATAGCATGCCCTGACCTCACGCTATCCCACAACAAAGTAGAGTCAATCATTCTCTCCTACGCATTACCACTGCATCTGGACATTCTTCATGATTTCATTTGTTGTACAGTATTCTGATTAATTGTATATGTATGTGAATATGAATTTTTGCCTCTCCAACCTATAGGAGTCTAGAAAACAGTTGGTATTCAATAAATAAGAATCTATGAGATTTAAAATTAAAAGGATTTATGCATGTAGTTGGTGGCTGTCTATGTATCTAAAAAATCTTTTTAAATGTGAGAGTTTAGGATTGTATTATTTCTCATTAGTAAAACTTCATATTGGTGGGGAGTGGTGGCTTATGCTTATAATTCCAGAACTATGGGTAGCAGAGGTAGGAAAATAGTTTGAGCCAAGGAGATCGACACCAGCCAGGGGAACAAAGTGAGACTCTGTCTCCACAAAAAAAAAAAAAAAAAAAAATACAAAAAATTAAACAATTAGCCAGGTGTGGTGGCACACACCTATAGTCCCAGCTAATCAGGTGGCTGAGGCAGAAGGATACCTCGAGCCCAGAAGGCTGAGGCTGCAGTGAGCAAGGTCATGCCACTGCACTCCAGCCTGAGCAACAAAGAGAAACCCTGTCTCAAAATAAATAAATAAAAAGAAAAAACTTGCATTAAAATGATAGCATAACAACAATCTTAATTATTGCTTTGTAACATAAATGTTTCCTGACAGCTAATACTAAGATACCACACCTACTAATATTTCTTTTGGAGGGAAGAGATGTTGAATGGCAATCTATCACTTGTTTTCAATAGGTAACTTCACATAATTAGAAGTGCATTTCTTCTAACATCATTAACAATGCTATTGCACAATGGAAAGAATGTAGGCAATTTATAGACTAGCAGAGTCAAATTTCCTTTTCAAAAACACTGAGTTTTTAAAACCTGTCATTGTAATTATAGAATAAAAATACTTCTATTAAACATATGAACAAGTAAACAGATTTCTAGAATACAACGGCTACATTTTTATTCCTGAGATCTCCTTTAACCTTTTCAATGTAGTTGTAATCTTTACCAATATCTGTGCCTCATAACACTGGCCAGCTCATTCTACATAGCACGTCTGCCTAGGAATGTATTATATTTCAGATGCTGGAGGCTGTTAATAAAGGTTTTACTATAAAACAAACGAGTAATAAGCAATCTTAAAAATAATTACGTATTCATCCACCTTCATAAACAAGAACCAACTATAATTTTCCACAATTACTCTCTTGTGATATGGATGTATCAGAAGCAGAATTTATTGCCAAGGGGTGGTTTTAATTAGAATCTAGTAGGGTAAAATTGAAATTTTAATAGTTTTTTTTAAAACTTTTCCTCATTAAATACATTAAAACAAAATTATTATGAAATACATCACTAACTAGAAAATGTTATTCAAAAACTCTTCAATACAAAAATGTTTGCAGCTATTGTAGAATTATACATAGCA